CCATACCATACCATACCATACCATACCATCCCATCCCACATCATACCATACCATACCATACCATACCATACCATACCATGCCATGCCGTGACATGCCATACTATACCATACTACACCACACCAGGCCATGCCACGCCACGCCACGCCACACCATACCATACCATACCATACCATACCATACCAGCTTTATTTATAGAGCACTGTTAACATCTACATGACCAAAGTGCTGTACACATAACACAATCAATCAGATAATATTAAAATAATTAAAAGTCAACATCACAGATGGTGTCAAAGGCCACAGAGAAGAGATGGGTTTAAGAAGGGATTTAAAAACAGACAGGGAAGAGACCTGTCTGATGTTCAAGGTCATTCCACAGTTTAGGAGCTGCCACAGTAAAAGCACAGTCTCCTCTGAGCTTACGCTTTGTCTTTGGCACACTCAGGAGCAGCTGATCACATGATCTGAGGGGTCGAGAGGGTGTGTACGGATGCAGCAACTCAGACAGATAGGGCGGGGCAAGTCCATTAAGAGCTTTAAAAGCAAATAAAAGAATTTAAAAATGAATCCTAAAATGTACAGGAGTGCATGGAGGCTAAAACAGGTGAAATGTGGTCAAACTTTTGTGTGCCAGTTAGAAGCCGTGCAGCAGTGCTTTGTACTCTCTGAAGCTGAGAGATTCATGAATCACTGATTCCTTTATAAAGGGCATTACAGTAGTCCTGTCGAGTGGCCACAAAGGCGTGGACTACAGTTTTTAAATGCTGCTAAGAAAGAATCATCTTCACTTTAGCCAGCTGCCTCAAATGGGAAAAAACTAGTTTTAACAACATCTCTGATGTGGTTTTCTACCTTTAGTCCAGCATCGACTTTGACCCCCAAGTTTGTAACAGTTGACCTGATGTACTGGGCCAAGGAACAAACTTCTACATTGAGAGTCTCAGTGGAGCTTCCAAAGACTATCACCTCAGTCTTTCCCTCATTAAACTTTAAAAACTTCACAGCCATCCAGGATTTTATGTCCTCCAGACATTAAAACAGCAGGTTCAGAGAGTTAGTGCTTTTTCTTTAGCTGTGTAAGCCATGCTGTAGGCACTAATGCACCCCTATACCATCAGAGAGGCAGGCTTTTGAACTGTCCGCTGATAACAGACTGGATGGGCACTCTCCTCTTAGTACGGAAAACGTGGCATTCATGGATTTCAAAAAGAATTTCAATTTTCATTTCATTTGAGCACAGAGCAGGTTTCCACTTTGCCTCAGCCTGTTTTAAGAGCTTTGATTCTTGAAATATTTTAATATTATGAACTCTACATGATGAGATATTCAAAATCCTCCCAGTTTTGTTGTTGTTGACAAACATTAATTTGAAATTGTTCCACGGTTTTAAACACAGTTCTTCACCGACTGCTGAACCTCTGCCCATCTTTACTTCTGAGAGAATCAGCCTCTCTTTTGTTGTTGCTGCCATAAAATTCAAAATAGTTTGGTTTTTTATGATTTGCATTATTGCATTCTGTTTTCACAATATAATTTTACACAATGCAGAAACTTTTCCACAATTTGGATACTATATAAATATATACAATTAAGTGGTTACCTAAATAAAATAATAGTAAAACATAAAGTGGTATGAGATGCTTTTCCATGCAGGTGAAAAAGATGCCTTATTTTTTTCAGCACTTTCAACGTGTAAATAAATGTAGTTTATTGTTCCATACAAATAAATGTGACTAAAATAAAATCAAGTGGTTGTTTTGTACAAGACGTATTGCTTTTTTTTTTGTATAAATGAGTGTTCCTAACACTGTTCTGGATTAAGAAGCAGTTGCTACTTTGCAACACAAGGGGGCACTGTTTGTCTTTACTTTTGCAGTTTTATTTTACATGAAAGTCTTACATTATAATTATACTTCTACATATAATGCAAGTTTTAATCTTATTGTTACATACTCTGTTTACCCTGAAGATATACCTCTTTACCACTCCAAGGTGAAAGGGCAATAATGGTTTTGCCAAATGTTTTGTTCGTCTCTCTGTGTGTGTGTTTTACAAATATTGAATCCAAATTTCATGTGGTAGTATCTGAGCCTCATCACCAACATGTACTCTAAGTGCTACTCAATGTCCAATAGCTTTGCTTGAAACTTTTGTCATTAACTGTCTGTTAAATATTTCATAAATCATTGGAAACATTTCAATAAAACTTTCAGTGAGCATTTATTGGTTGTAAATCTACAACTGATCAGGTTTTGAAGTCCATCCTATTCAATATGGCTGCTACAACTAATCAACTTTAACCGGCACGAAAATGGCTCTACTTAAGTCATTTTATAGATAATAAGCTGGAATTTGTTGTTAGAATCTGAGACTCTTCCTTTTTGTGTACTCTGAGTGCTAACACTTCTCATGAAATATTACAATTACATTAGTGCAAAACATGATTTACAGTTTGACCAATTTCTTATAAAATGACCAGCATGGAAGGTGACAGGCGATTTGTATTCCTTCAAAGATATGGTCAATAAAACAAACTCTCCTTATCTTTACAATGTGAACCAAACCACCGATTCAAGTCCAGACCGTCCTTACCAGGAATTAAAAAAAATAATAATAATTCTGTCAGCTGCTGCATAGAAGAAGAAACGCTAGTTTAGAGCAGGGGTCTGCAACCTGCGGCTCTGGAGCCACATGTGGCTCTTTGGTCCCTCCACAGTGGCTCTTTCAAGCTTTGACCAAAACTAACATAAAACTGAATTTTATAGGATGTTATATTCGACAACAAAAAAGAATAGTTTCAGCAGTTTTTCTGTCATTTCCTTTGCAAATACAGAACCTGTAGTCCCTCGCTACTTCATGATTCGTTTTTCACGGACTCGCTCTATCGCGGTTTTTCAAATTGGACATGATGCACAACTGGCTGATTGATGGATGAGCCGCACGATTGGCATGGAATTTATATTTTAAATGAATTATTTTAAATTGTTTAGCACCTGCTGCACCTGTGTACAGCCCATACTGCAGGATAAACTTCCTGCTGCAGCTCCTTCTCCTTCCTCCTCTGTCAGTCTCCGTTCTGCAGCAGAGAAGTGGGCGTGGCCGAGAGCGTGCAGCAGAGAGCTGAGATCATGACATGCTGTGTTATTTTAGAGCATTTAGAGTTTAGAATATTACAAGAGTGTGGGAAGGATTCAAAGCACCTTCTATTCCTATTTCACTGTTTTTCACTTGTCGCAGGGCTTCAGGGTACGGATCCCCCGCGATAAACGAGGGACGAATGTGTGTGGATACTAGTACTAATACACAAAGTAAATTATACTCACTTGAACTTTATTTCTTCAAAGAAGGATATTCATTTTCTCCACATTAAAAAACAAATAAGATTGCACAGTTCATTGTTTTAGTTTTTTTTTTTTTAAATTGGTACAAAATTTTTTTCTTTACAAGAGTCCAGTCTTCTGTGATGGACTCACACCTGGATATGGACACCAGTGACCCCCTGCAACCCGAAAAGGAAGAAGCGAGTAAAAATAATGGACAGATTTTTTAAATTATTTTTTATTTAACCTTTCTTTATACTACCTTCTAATATCCAAGTAAATTTTGTTAAAAGGGAGAATGGTTATTATCTGAAGGGGATAGAGATGTTTGTGAGGCCCTGGTTTCGTACCAGTTTGAAGGAGCGGTCTACTAAAATTCATGGAATAGGACTGGAACGGTCTGAAGGACGATAAAACTGCCAGATCTATGTTCATATTCAAGATAATGAAAAAAAGCAAGTTTTCTGAATGAATATGGAAAAGTATAATGTGTATCTACACAAATTGTTGTTTGAGGCGATGTTGTTTTTATTTAGCTTTGTTTTTTTGTAAATTACTTTTGTTTGAATATATTCTGGGGAAAAAAAAGAGGCAGATATTATAAGATTTATTCTTCTTCTGCTGCCTT